TGGGTGGGAAAGTCGAGGGGGAGGACAGATCGGGATTGGAATATGCTTCTGGGGGGGAGTTTGGTCGGCGGAGAGGGGCTGAGGTGAGGGCTAGTGTGTATGGCCGCGGTGGGTGGGGAAGTCGGAGGGGAAGACAGGTTGGGGTTGGACTATACTTTTTTTTGGGGGGGGTGGTTTGCGGATACGGGAAGGAGGTGGGTGGGGGGGCGAACACTCATAAGAAGGGGGGCCGGGAATCTATTATGGTTGGCGATGTATAATTCAATAGTGGGTTTGTTAGTGAGACATAGTGTGGTGGGGAAAAAGTCGGGAGGGGAAATGATTGAGAACAGTAGTGTTCTCACAGTGTGCGACCGATCCGCTTGTCTTCTCCGTCACATTGGTCCTTTGGTTCGCTATCTTAGTCGTATGTAGGCTCTTGCTACTTCGCCGTCTTCCGATGATTGCACTCCCCTTCTGGACGCTTCTCCTATTGGCTACCGTATCTCCTTAGGTCCCACCTCAAAGGCGGCTGTCCGCCAGGTACCAGCGTCAGGGCTTCCCGATGGTAATCATTCGCCCTTTTGCTATTATTGGAACGCTAGGAAAACCGTCCTCCTTCTTGGATTCGTCTTGGACTGATTCGGGGAGGTCTCACCTTCTCATTCAGGCAAGCTTGGGAGCCTTTGTCTTTACTCTGGCTCGTCGTGGACGGTCCCGTCGAGAGTCATGAGTGCTCATTATGAGTGTGCGCGCTAGGCGCGCGCCATGTGTTCCATGTGAAACACTGGCTGCCGCCTGTCACGCGTGTATTTCTTCGAGGCACAGACTGGAGCTGGTTCCTCAAGTACCTGGGTATTCTTCTGGAGAGGTTCCTGATCGGTAATGAGGATTGGAGGATTGACTGTCAGCTTGCCTATCCCTGAGTCCCTTCTCAGATCCCCTCTTTGGGACACGGACAACTACCCTCATGGGTCACACACACACTCAAACCGACAAGTACTCAGACAGGCATGCAGGCCAGCAAGCATGCACACACTCAGACTTAGAAAACTCAGCAATAAGCGGGAAACTCAGCAAGGCATACATTCCATTGGCAAAACTCAGAAATCAGTTGTGTGTCTCAGTCTGTGTCTGGCAGGTCCTAATACTGCCCCCCCCTCAAGAGTGAGGTCCCTTCGAGCGAGTAACTCATTCTGAGTCCCCGACAAACGCGCCCTAAGTGAACATAGTGAAGAGATTCCGCGAGTACTCAGTAGCAGCGATTTTTGCAGAGATTTTGGGAACAGCATCGGAAGCTATCTTTCGTTCGTATGCTTTCGCAACGAGAGATGTGCTGCGCAGCAGTTCCTTCTTAGAGATCCAATAGAGGTCGTCCAATGGGTGGTACATGAAATTCGGTTAGGGTCATGACATTGTCGAGGATGAACCTTCCCGGAATGAAAACTGTCTGGTCTAGGTGAAGCAGCCCCGAGTGACCCCTCTGAGACGGTTCGCTAGAGCCTTCACTACTGTTTTATGCGTCAGTGTTAAGAGGTTGATGGCCCTGATGGGTCTATAATTCCTTATAGCTGCTGGGTTCCCTTTTTCGTAGAGCAGCATCACTATGCCCATGGACGGGTCCTCTCCTATCCCTTCCTTTGTCAATGTCAATGCTGAGTTGAGGAACGTTTCGTACTTCTTTCCCAGAACGGGCCAATATTCCAACCAAAATTCTCTGGTCAGGCCATCCTTCCCTGGCGTTTTATTTGGACTCATCGACTTCAGAACCTCCCACAAGTCTCCTGTGAGAGGGGGGCATCTAACATTTTCTCCTGTTGCGGCGAGATCGTCCTCTCCAGGTAGGTCAGGAACTTGACCCTCGACCCCTCGGTTTGTTCCTTTGTGTGGTCCTGTTCTCTTGAGGTGTGGAGGCTGCTATATAAGTCATGGGCCACTTGGACCATCCCTTCTGCCGATGTTGGTGGTCCGTTCGGGCCCTCTAATTGTTTGATGGTGGAGTTCCACCCATTGGGCTTGATCTTCTGAGAAAAGAACTTGAACATTCTTTCTCCTTCTTCCCACTCTCAGACCCTTGCCCTCATCTGCAGTCCCCTGCCCCTCCATCTTTCCCAGTCTCCTAACTCAGTCCTGGCTGCTTCTAGAATCCTCTCACAAAGCTCTGTGCCCGGATGTCTAATGAGATTCTGTTCTGCCAATCTTAGTGCTTGCTGTAGTTTGCACTCCCTTGCTCCCCTTTTGGCTGCCAGTTGCCTGGTCACCCTTGCCGTTGTCTGAGACAAGGTCTCTATCAGATCTGCGAAGGATTGACTTTGCAGATCGTGTGACAAACACGTTTGGAGGATCCCTTGTCGCAGCTCCGGTGTCCGCAGAACGGAGTTATTAATTCTGTAGAATCCTTGACCCATATTGATATGTTTATCAGTAATTAAATATAGAAGGAGGGGTTATGTTCTAAGCCGCTAGCGTAAGGCAGATCCCCTATTCCTACTGTGTGTATCATCCCTAGGATACTATGTTAAACGGTTAAACCCCTAGGTGACTATGTTAAAAGAAGGCTATTCTAGAAGCGGACACGTGTTGACTCCTATTTCTCTTATGATAAGTAAACTGTTTTTCAGTTGGGTAGTACAGCCTGTGTGGATTCGTCAGGTCCTTCTCCGTCGTTAAGTTATGGATAGCCAGTGCCTCCTCCCCTAGCCACCCCTCTGTCCCTGAGCTTCCTCCAGTCATGCGGTCTAGTCCTGGGTTCAATGCTGCGTTCCAGTCCCCTGCCAGAATTATATGCCTGCTATTGTCGACCCGATCTTTGAAAAGGTTAACCGTTTGATTGCGCTGGTGAAGCATGTTTGGGCAGTAGAGGGTCACCAGTCTGAATTCCTTCTCATGAAGTTTGAAATCCAGTTGTGCCCAGCATCCTTCCTCTCTGTCCACTTCTGCTCCTTGCGCTGTGATCTTGCGTGCTGCAGATGACCTTCTATTTTGCAGGATCACCACTCCTGCCGCATGTGGACGCTGTGCTGGTGCCCAATAGGCCGCCTGCACCCTTCTCAGTCTCTCTGTAATTCTAGACAGGATTTTTTGGTGTTCCTCTAAGTCCGTGAGGTGGGTCTCCTGCCAGCAAACAAAGTCTTGCGGGTCTGTTCCAAACCAGTTCGTGTAACTCATAATGGTATTCCACTTGTCAGGATTGTCGAGAATTGTGGCGAGGCCGTTAATGTTTCATGAGACTATCTTAATTTCTGGCTTGTGTCTTGCTGCCACGTGATGGAGTTTCCTTCGTTTTCCTTGTCGCCCTGCTCCTCCTATCTCCATCTGTATAAGGTCTTGGGGTCATCCTCCTATTACCTCGGTGTGAGAGTTTTTAAGATCCCGCAGATCAATCCTCGTTGCTGTGTCTGCCACCCTCATCTCCAAATAGTCCGGCTCCCATGAGGTCTCATGTTTCACCAGAATGACTACGCTGCGTGCTGCCCTCTCTGGTGCCAGCTCACCACCCAATAAGCCATAGGGAATGGTCTCAACCACTTGCCACGGCATCCAGGCCAGATCCCCCTTGAGCTCCGCGTCTTCCGGGAGCTTGATGAGAATCGGCCTGAAGTCAGCTGTTTGTGCAGTGCCACTTTGCATCTTCCCATTCCAGCTTCTCCTTTCCAATGTCTCCCTTGATGTAGAATCTTGATCGGATGTCCACTTCTTCTTTTGAGTTCCGGCAAGTCTTGCATTTTCTCACAATTTGAGTTTTGCATTATGAATGTGGTAGGATCGTAACAGTCTTATATAATGTTCTGCTCAGTTCAGTGTTCCGTACGTTCAATGCAGTTGTCGTTGCTGGTGCCACTCTTTCACATATTTCAGTAATTCAAAAAAAGAACGGACTGGACCTGTGTCTTGAGCATAAGCAGCAACAGTTGCTGCAGTGAGTAACAATTTCACAATTCAGTTTTGTCCCTAGATTCATGGGTATTCGCAGCTATCTCTGCTTTGTAAGTTTGCAATCATTGATAATTAACGAAAGTGTCATGAATCTCTCGTTCTTGTGTTTTCTTTAGTGAAGTTCATTCCCTTCTGTCTTTTCTTCTCTGTTGAGTTGTCATGCGTGAGTTCATGCCTTCGATTTTCTGCGGAGGTGAGCATTGAGAATTGGGCTCATTGCACTGGGCCCAGTTTCGGCCCTTTTCATTGTAAAGGTTGTCCTGGGGTGCTACACCCAGTTTCCAGCAGGTGCAGCTGCCTAGCAGTAGACTGGGACCTTGGATTTCTTTTGTTCTTCTTTGTATTAAACCACTACCGTCTTCACCCGAATAGAACGCCCGGTCATTATCGCTGCATCTGGACCGAAAGTTGTGCCAAATACAGCTATAATGACCGGGCGTTCTATTCGGGTGAAGACGGTAGTACCTTTGCCATTTCGTTCCGGCAAGTTTTAGCCTATTCCCAAACTTTTAGGAGGCCGGGCCCGACAACGGCTGCCGTTGATAAATCTGATCGGCGGCCGTCGTTTCGTTTCGGCCTCCGGAAAGGTCGCCCACTACTTTCCGAACCGACAAATGTACTAGTGGTTTAAACCACCGGTACATCCGGAAAAGCAGATTGAGCCTCTCCGAAAAAAACAGGAGGCCATGAGCCGCGGATTCATTTTATCGACGATCCATGGCCTCAGAATTTTTAGGAGAGGCTCAATCTGCTTTTTCGGATGTACACAAAAGCGGCATTGACAGTTATCTGATACCACTGAGGCAAGTCTTCTGCTACAGATCTCATGAGCTGTTTATCAACAGCTACACGTGTAGCATTCACGATTCAAATTTAGCTGGTATCTCTCCAAAGAGTCCACTGCCATGAGAAACCCAAGTCCTGCAATAAGGGATTATTCCTGATAGTATAATAATACCATTATATTGAGGATGGTTGTCTGAACTCAGTGAAGTGGGATTTCCCAACGCTTTTTGCTGGTTTTCCGCTACAACTTACAATTGATTGCTCATATGATTGGTCTCTCTGCAAACTTCCATTCGCAGATTTCTACCGGGAACTGTGACAAGGAGGCTTCAGCCCGGTCTTCTAACAGGGAGTGGGATGTTGTCTGAGATACGAAGATGCACATGCCTTTTTGTGGGACTTCTGTCCCTGACAAGTCATCAGCCACCTGGGCAAGAACAGTTGACTCGCGTACAGCTGACGATGACGACTGTGCAGAAGTGCCTCGAAGCATTTGAGGGTTGTCTGATACAATTCCGAATGGATGAGAAAGGTAGGTAGTAATTTATGTTGACGTATGTTCTCATGGTTGCCAGCTTGCACCAAAACTGCAGCAAGAGATAGACAACATGAAAGACTCCCAGTGCACCCAGAACTTCACAAATCTACCTCACACAGAACACCAATGTCCTTTATGCCCATTAATCACTTTCTTATCAGAAGAGAGCTGGCAAAAACGGTTGTATTCGAATCTCTAATGGGACGCCTGATGCCGCATCATTATTGTAGTCAGTTGAGCCTGGTTTCCAGCATGTGCTGCTCCCCACCAATAGAATGAGAGTTCAGTGGAACACTGGAACCAATATTGTTGCAAAAAAGAAAGAGGTGGTTTGCGGCTACTTGTGCATTGTTTGTCTTTCTTGTGTTGATGTCAAAGGAACTCAGCATCTGTCTTCTGCTGTGCAGAGTCAGTCAGCCGCAGTCTTAGTAGTCCTTGAGGCAATATTTATTGCCGTCATCAACTTGTCAGCTGGACTACCAGCAGGGCTGCCCGGGTTGCCTTGTTTGACCGGGCGGTCCGGCCGTGCGAGGACGAGCTGTAATGAACCCGGTCCCGCCGGAAAGCAAACCAGCAATGCAACGGGAGTCTGAACCCAGCGTGACTCGTGAAGTCTCCAGTCGTCAATTACAAGTCCAAGTCTCGATCAAATGCACAAGTCAAGAATATTATCCTGTCAAAGAAGCTCATGAGAGAACAGCAAGGGGAGTGATGAGACATAGAAGAGGAGGAGGAGAGTCTTAACGATAGTCAATAGCACAGGTATGTCTTCCTCTCTCACACTCCAACTTTGGGCTTCTCCCCTAATGCCACCTCAGCAGTGCATGTTCCCTCTGACGTCCTCTGACATAACTGCTGTCAGATCAGAACAGGGCGCCCATCCTCCTTCCACGTCAGCAATCAAATATGGAGGATGGCGAAACACTTCCTCATCTTCATGGAGACAGCAGTAGATCACACGTGTCGTCGCCAGTAAGTCCAGGAAAGCTTTCCCTCATCTCTCGTCAGTCTCACAGCCCTGATCCTCCTCCTCCTCGCCAACAGTTACCACCTTGTCTACGTCCACGCGGCTATGGCCACGCCAACATAATCCCCCTCAAGTCTGGTCCCCACTCCCAGCTTCTGGCGCCAGCATACAGCTGCAGCAGTCTCGAGTCACGACACTAGAGCGCATCGGCTCCCGCATTTTTTTTTTTGCAAAAGTCGGGAGCCCTCCCGGCCATGTCACGCAGGAGTTAAACAAAAACAAAATCAAGAGACAACTTGGGAACGACGCAAAAATAATCCCGCGAGCCGCCGAGACGGTCGCGGTAACGTCGCTCCGTCGCCGCTATAGCCGGGTGCGCCAGCTGTACATCCCGCGGTCCCCTACGACAGGATAGGTTCCCGCGGGGCATAAGCTTGCTTCCCTAAGGGGCTCCACAGGGCCTGGTCAACTCTTTATAGGGTTGACTCGCGTTGACCAGCCTCCAGTCTCCTTGAGTCGATGGGCCAGATGAATCGAAAGCCAATTGCCTGGATGCAGCGCAGTTCCCAATTTCCCTTGTGTCCCACTTGGACTGGAATCTTCTAGAAACCTGCAGACAACCAATGATGTGCATCTGATCGACGGCCGTGGCTGACCAGTGGGTTGACTTTGACTTTGGGCCTGATTCTCCCTTGCTGGTCTGACCGTTGACTTTCCAAAAGTCGACTGTCGTTCGTGGGGGTTTTGGGTGCAGTTTTGGACTCAGGCCAGGATACCCCATGACCCTAGGCCAGGCTTGAGCTGTGTCTGTTGACCCCGTTTCAGGCCTTTGGCCAAAAGTGACTACCTTAGCCCGCGGCAGTGCGGATTTGAACCGAGTTTATTGCAAAGTGAAGGGCCCAGCAAAAAAAAAAAAAAAAAAAATCTGAAAAAAAGTTAAAAAAACTATGTGATGCACACAAATAAACTGAACAACGTTTGCCTCAGGATCACATCGAAATTCTTTACCAAATTTTTTTTTTTTTTTTTTTTTTGGGGGGGGGGGGGAGGGGGGGAATTTTTTGAAATGCCCCTCTGACTTCCATTTATTTGAGGTATGCCCCTCCGACGGTCGACTTACCCTGTTGTGCCCCTGGGCCCTCTGAAGTTTCCTGTATGCCCCTGTCAGTGAGGGATGCAACTTTCCAGCATGCCCCTGTGGTGGTTGGTGGTACTTGAGGCCGTTCCCCTGGTCCTGGGAGGGGAGCCACCGGGCCGTACTGGAAATTAACCGGTACCGCTAGGGGCATATTAAACATATTTCAGGCCCCAACAATGCCAGGGATTTTTGGGAAGCTTCAATCGCTTCAGAGGGGCGCAACAGGGTAAGTCGGCATACTGCAAATAAATGGAAGTCGGAGGGGCATTTCAAAAATTTTCCCAACTTGCCCCGGGCCACTCTGGCAGCCTAGCTTTTCAGCATTTTTCACTTTTCTTTCTGTTTCAAAGAAGGGGAAATTCCCTCTTTCTTTTCTTTTTTTTTCTTTCCACGAGTCTGTTTTATAATTCATTGTTTTATAATTCATCCGTGGACTCTCATCTGACATCATTCATCTGATGTGCATGTTTACTCCACAGGCTATTTGATGATCGCAGCCTTTGGACTTCCAGGAAACACGCACGAGGATGACACAATGAGAGGAATTCAAGCAGCAATGATGATCAAGGACAGTCTGTCTGCTGTTAGGCAGAAATGTGCCATAGGCGTGACTACAGGAAAACTTTTGTGTGTCACAGTGGGCGGAAAGCGAAGGTGCGAGTACACTGTCTATGGAGATCCAATCAACTTGAGTGCTCGCTTGATGAAGAAGGCTGGTGAAGACGTAAGCATAAAGCACAATATAGACACTTCACTTCTTAACTATTTACCATAAAGTTAGTCACTTTACTGCTCAACTATATACCATAAAGTTAGTCCAAACTCTGAAGGTTAAACCTTAAGAAGTTCTTCTGACTTGTTCATTATATTATTATATTATTATATTATATTTATGTTATTTTTATTCTTCTTATTATTATTGCTGTTTTATAAAAAAATAAATAAAAGAAATATGATTATATACTAGGCCACCAGCCGGGCCGCCCAGGTCCCCTTGTTTTCCCGGGCGGTCTGGCCGTGCAAGGACCAGGGAAAGTCCTGGCAAAAAAAAAAAAAACTGAGAAAAAAACTATGTTATGCAGAAAAATAAACTGAAGAAATTTTGCCTCAGGGTCACATCGAAATTCTTTACCAGATTTAAAATTTGTTACGATGCTGGCCAATTTCGAAGTATACATTCATCAGAAAGTACAATGCCATCCAATTGCAAAAAGAAATGAATGAACTTGAGAGGAGAGAGGGAAAGAAGAAGAAGTAGAAGTAAGAAAGAAGAAGAAGATGATGTACTCCAGCATAGACCAATGACAAGGCTCTTCTCCCTCGCCAACCAATCTCCTCCTCCTTATCTCCTCCCCTCTTATTCAGACAAGAAATAACAATAATGTTGAATGGCTGAACCAGAATCAATGTCCGAATCCCACTTCTACTGCAGGCACAACATGAGGTCCACCATATCCATGGTCACCCTTCCTCTTCCTCTACATACAGGTCGATGCTATGGCGGACTACTGAGGCTTCAGCCTCCTGTCCAAAGGACAACCCAAAGCAGCTATGTCGCTGCCCCACTTCAAGGTCAACTCCATGCAGCTATGCGGCTGCCCACTCAACCGCCATGCCTGACTCGCCTGACTCTGTCCCGAGCTTCCTCGATGCGGCACTACCCCCACAGGGGCCTTCCAGATGCAGCGCCTAGCAAGGTGATGAAGATGACGTCTACCATAGCCAGGTAAGTACCTCACCACTCTCCTCCTTGGTCCCCTTCTCCCTCCTCCTCCTACCGGAAGAGCTCCACCATAGCCAAGGTGGAAGCTCCCGGCTTCTTCCTCCCAGCAGCGCTGTAGTACCCGACGCCACTCCAGCCAGCGCTCCAGCAGCGTGTCTCCAAACTTGCGCACTGAAGAATGAGGCCGAGCTCTTGCCTCGGCCTCTTGATATAGCGGCCTGCTTGCCTCCTGGGCGGTGACTTCCAGGCCGCTCGGCCTCCCAAGCAACCGGTACCTCCTCCCTTTCTGAGGGAAACATCATTGCAGACTCTGATATTGCCCGCACAGGCTCTAGACTCAGACTGGATGGACTGGTACTGGCCTAGACCTAGCCTACTGCTACTGGGTGCGGTACCGGCCTACCTGCTACTTGAGTGTTTTTCCGCTGCTCTAAGCACCGCGGGCCCCTGGCTCCGCTACTCGAGTGTTTTCCCTGCTGCAACCCTCAATGCCACGGCCACAGGTAAGTACCGGCCCTACGGGCCTGCCAAACAAGCAAGTACCCTTACGGGTCACACACACACTCATGCCGACAAGCACTCAGACAGGCACGCAAGTCAACAGGCACGCACACGTACAGACTTAGAAAACACAGCAGAATGCGGGAATCTCAGCAAGGCATCCATTCCATCGACAGAACTTCAGAAATCAGCCGTGTTCTCAGTTTGTATCATACTTGCGGCGCATCAGTGCGGTGCGCGATGCGGTGCGCTGCACGGTGCGCGGTGCGCACCTGTGCCGTGCGGGGTGCGCACCTGTGCCGTGCGCACACTGATGCGCAGTGCGCTGCGCGGCACTCCGGTGCGCTGGGGCGTGCGCGTGACGAGCGCACTTTCGCGCATGGTGCGCCGTGGTATATTTTGTTTTTCTACGTGATACACCGAGTTGATGAGTTAATAATACTTAATATAAGTTATATTGTTTATATAACATTTTAGTATGATTATACTATGATTACAGTATTACGGGGAACCCT